GAGAGAGAGAGAGAGAGCTAAAAGGAGGGATAGCCTGCACTGAGGGGTTCCAGTCCTGACCCTCTATCCTGGGTCAAAGTGTAGCTGAGTACAGCAGTCAGTCCTGGCTAATAGTTGATGAAACTGTTGTTGGTGTATCCTTAACTGTGTTTCCTTTTTTTTAAAAAAACAAACAAAACAAAAAAAAGTCTTTCCACTGTTCCGTTTTTCTGAAATCGTGTTACTGGGAGAAGTGGGAGTTGTATCGGGATGGAAGGGAGGGAGGGAGGGAGGGCGGTCAGTCGCTCACTCTGTGGTTTGGTGAAATCGGTGGAAGTGGAGGAGGTGATTGGCTAACTGGTGGTGGGGGTAGATAGGTAGGTTGGTAGGTAGATAAGTAGACCGGATGCCGCCGCCAATCACAAGAGCTCGTACTGCCGTAGGTGCATCCTCTGTATGATGTCGCGACAGTCATTGAAGACGCGGCGGATGTTTTCTGTGTCGACCGCGCAGGTGAAGTGGGGGTAACAGTAATGCCGTCCGTCCCCGCTGGCTGTGCTAATCCTCTGAAAAAGACACACAAAGGTACGGACAAGTTAGTCTCATGAATCGGGGGGTTCCCAGCCTTGTTTGACTGATGTTTCTCCACAGCTCTGTCAGATTTTTATTCTTCATCTGTTCATTTTTAAGTTGTTTTAGTCATGTTTGTATTCCAGTGTCAGAAGCTTTCTTTTCTTTAGCTATTTCAGCCATTTATTGATCACTTTTAGTTACATATTTGTTTCAAATTGTATCCATGACTTTTATCTTTTCCACCATTTATTAAATACTTCTAGTTAACAACTCTTTATCCGTTAGTACCCCCAACCATCTATACCTGTATGTGTGGATGCACATATAGACCCCCGGTTGGGACACCTTCAAATGAAATGTACTGAGAGTATTTTAAAAGACAAGTATCCTGTGTGCACACCGTTTGGTGGAACATTTAGTGGCCATCTGTGAGATTTTGTTTTGATTTTGGTGATATCTTTGGTGCTAAGCTGTCACTGGTGTGGTTTTGCACAGCATGTCCAAGAAAAAAACATTTGCGAGTTTGGATGAAACTGTGATGTCTTTTTCTGTTAACTGCTGTTGCTGCTTCTTAAAACAAACCACCTCATCTATATCAGTTATTAAGAACAGGACATTTATCAGTGATACTGTGATCTGTGGTGGCAAATATGTATAATGGAACAAATACTGATCAAAAGACTAAAATAGATTTCTGGTAGACAAGTTTCATATAGATTTACCAAACCTAACATCTTCATTTACTGCGTGCTGCTGATATATTTCAGTCAACTCTGGTTTCTATGTTTATCACACCTACACTATTCTGTAAACCAAACAGGTACAATTATAAACATGATCAAATTCACAACAGGTGAAACACGAGCTTTGAACATACCAGAAACTCATCCCGAATGAAGTACTTTGCCCTTGTGACACGGGGATCTTCACCTGGCTCTGGTATTGCTGTTGGAGAAGAAGAACTCTAGTCACAATAAAGTAATTTAAACAGTCTGCAGCATCAACCTGAGGAGCTACAACTGGTAAAAGCTGGCAAGGAAGATAATTACTTAAAGAAGTATTGTGACCAAAACTATCTGCTAGTGACAACAAGTAAAAATGTATAAATTATGGGCAGCCACTCTGCTCACACTCTGTAGTCTGTGCAGGATTGGGTTAGGGTTAGATTTTGCTTGATTTTGTCATATGGTAAATAATAATAATACATTATTTGAGTCCAGTAGAGGTAACCAGGGAAGAATAAACACTATTCAAAGCAAAAACTCATCCAGACCAGCAACTCTAAGTCATATTCTAATCTTACTGCTGAATCAGGGTCCCAAAGCCATTTAAAGGACATTTGTGGTTTATAAACAGGCTGAATGTTATTTTCACAGCTCTGACCATCGCGTCAATCAGTTATGATGACATTGTAATAACCAAAGTAATTACTGACATTTGAGAAATATGATGAAGTCTAACCGGTCCAGAAACAAAAGCAGACAGATAATAATAGACGAGGTTTAGTCTGATTATCTAAAACATTTTATTTGTAGGAAAACTTGATTGTTGTTGTTTGAAAGTGATTGCAACCATAATGTAAGTAATAAAAAATAAAAACAGCTACAGCAATTACGTTTGGTCTGTAAAATGTTTTATTTATTTTCTCTGCCAAATAAGTTTGACTTCAAATTTTGTTTAAAACCTGGATGATTGTCTGACAGCACAGGTTTCTTGCCCTGTCTCTACATTCAGAAATCTAAGTAGTACGTTGTAATAAAGCAGAATTATCTTTTAAGATGACTGTATACGTCTTCTTACCGCAGGAAAAATGTTTGTTACAGTATGTATTGGACACCCACGGATATCAGTGTGAACCTCTTACCATCATCAGGTGTAGTGTAGCGTGCAAACTCCGGGAAGTACTCCTCAATTTTAGATTTCCCTGCCAAAACCTTCTCAGCGAGCAGGTCCTGCTTGTTCAGGAAGAGGATTACCGAAATGGTCCGTAGCCACCTGTGGAGGGAAATGAAGACCGAGTTCAGCGCCAGATTTCTTTGGACTTTCGTTTCGGACCCAGAATACGTTACAAGTCTGTACTTTTAAAGTGGCATTATGTTTTAATAGGCTTTGGCTGAAGAACAAGGGAATAATTTATTCTCTGGAGTTCTGGGCTGAAAAGGTCTTAGAGCTCCTGCCATAAACAGTCCATATGCTCCCACTGGGAGAGAAGAGTCAAGGAGCGGCTCTGTATCCAATTAACGTCTCCTCCTACTGTATATGAACCCTGAGCAGTTTTATTCTTTCAATTCTCAACCCTGTTTGTACACAGTTCTTGTTTAAGGTGTCCCTTAAATTCTTTTACTGACAAACAAAAACAAACAGTTTAATCTTTACCTGCTTTGCATACATGTTTGTGAAGGAAAAGATCTCTATTGTCATCTCTAGGATTCCTCTTTTGTGTGTCCCTCACCTCCCAGATTACTGACACAAACACAAACTAAGGTCTGCTCGGCACAAAGTCACATAAAGTGGAGAACACTGAAGGTTGCTTTTTTACGTAATGTTTCATCAGTGGTTTGCGAGTGCTGACACAGCGAGCAAGAAGTGGCAGAGGTGATGTCAAGTGATTTCATTCGCTTCCAGGAAGGCTGCACAATTAATCAAAGTATTATCAAAATCACAATATGTCCAATATGTAAGTGCAATATCCAAATCACAGGAGCTTTAATGAAGGTAAAATGTGTGATGTGAAGTATTGTAGTGCTGCAGAGATTACCTACAATGTCACATCAACATGATCTTCATAGTTCTTTCAGTGAAAATGAAAACTGTGATGCAAAAATGATCATCCCCACTAACCGTGAATCATATCGCAATCGTAATATCCGTCAAAAATGACAGTAGGTCTTCGTTGAGCTACGCTCGGCAGAGTAAAACACCAGCGATACATTCTCTGTTTTACCGTCTATGGTGGACAAGTCATATCCCTGCAGTTGTGTATTTACAGTGTGTCTAAGAGTCTAAGAGTTTAAGTTTCTGAATATGATCTGAGGCTTTATAACCAGAAAAAAAGCCTCCATTTCTTGCAGGTTTTATCTTTGAATAGCGGGAGAACATGGCTGCAGCCACTGGATCATAGGACACAGTGGAGATGGGTGTAGACTTTGGCATTGTATAGATGTTGAAAATGAAAATAAAATGTGGGTTTGTTTCATCCTGTTCAGTTCCAGGGCGCAGGTGCATGCACATTTGTTCGTGTATTAATCAAAGTGTATACACTATAGGTACTTTTATGCTAAATGTGTTTTTTGAATACTCTTCGTCTCCCCACTTTGACTTTGAGAAAAGTGTGACTCGTTTCATGTTTGATGAAGAACTCGGGTGCCGACCTGTTGTTCCAAATGTTCTTGAAAAGGTTGAGGGCTTCCTGTAGTCTGTTGGTCTGATTGTCTTCTCTGATCACCATGTTGTAGCTGCTACTCGCCACCACAAAGATGATAGCTGTCACATCTGTGTCACACACACAGAAACACCAGAGACAAGGATAAACACACCAAAGATTGATTAAAATCTACCAAACACTT